AAAAAAAAAAAAAAAAGTACTTCTGCAACTTAATCAAAGAAAACATGATGCTATATATTAAACATATGTGTGTGCGTTGGTAGTTTTTTTTCCTGCTTCTTCCTGTCAGCTATTTTTTCTCAAGTGGAAGAAATGAAAAATGTGTCTTTATTTAGAACATAAACCTGCAGGACTAAATTTTTCCCCAATCACATTTCTCTCTGACTGCTCAAAACAAAGCATACATTTTCCCTCCCAAAAGGATTGTAACCACTATTTATGATAATTAAGGATTTTCTTAGATCTCTTTTCTTTTATAACTTGCTTTCTAGTACAAATTGTCTTCTGAAAGCATGCAGAACAGAAATTGTTTTCAGAAGAGCCAATAATACTTCTGGAAAAAATATATTACACAACATGTAAATTTCTATCTAGAGATATAATTTTTATATAAATGTTATATATCTCCACTGAAAATACAACAAACTCTGAAGAAAATAACATTAAAATTTCTTTTTGGCTGAGCTACCCCAGCAGAAGGTTACCTCTAAGCAGGAAAGCTGGCAAAGATAAGAAAGATATTTGAGGAGGAAAAAGCAACTCTAACTAAAGTGGCTACAGTTCTAAGTCAAGGATCCCCAAGCCAGGGCACATGTCCATCCCATATGGTGGAACAAGTTTTGCTTAAGGGCTCTCAGCTGATGGAAGTACAAGTGAAGCTGAAATCCAGGCTTGCTCTTCTCTCCAAGCTGTGCTCTCTGGCGTGGGCTTCATCTGCCTTATAGCAAAGGCACCTTCTGTTCCATTCCAAGGCAATGCCAACTAGCTGAGATGTGTGGGGCTGTGTTCTCCCAAAAGAAATGTCTTTCTCTAATTTTCACAAAAGTGTTCCTGCTAAGACCTACAGTGGCTTTGAGGATCTACCAGTCATAAAGTGGTCAAAAATTTACTTCAAGTCCACATGTCCTTGAGAAGCCGTCTGAATATCATATTATAAAAATGATCAAGCCACACTATTTACTTACTTTGCCCCCAGACGTATTTGCATTGTCTATCCCTGGTTTTACATCTTCCTCCAAAGCAAATTCCCTAAAATGGAAAGGCATACTCATTAGCAATGCAATGCCTGCTTACATCAGAAAATGTAAGAAAATATGATTGGAAAAAAATACGAGATGAGTATTAGAAAGCTTTTTTATCATCAGAATTGATTATGAAACATTTAAATTCATTTTCCTATTTTGATATGATTTCAATATTTCTTTCATGCTGGTGCATGTGAAAAATATAAGTAAAAATGAAGTGACCTACCTGAACACCATCACATGAGTATCCATCCATTTTATGAATGTTAGGGGCACACTAGGAAAAGAGAACAGAACTATGAATCAAATGCAGAGGAGAATATCAGGCCAAGCTAATTCATTTAATGTACTCATTTTAGAAATAGTCAGATGATGCAATTAGTCTCTTAAACTATCTGAGAGGAAAAACAAAGACAGTCAAGAGAAGGCAAGAGGAAACACAACTGGCACACTTTCTCCTAAAAGTATGAATCTACCAGAGGCAAAAACAGTTGATTACATAGCAGCAAAGAAAAAGAGCTGACTAAAGTGGACTCAGTTAACACTGACATGAAAAGAATCTTGCTTCATACAGACATGCCACTATTCAGAGCAAGAAAAATAAGGGTGTGAAACAAAAGCACGAAGGATGCCAGGCAGATGGAGCATTAAGTACAGTTCCTGTCTTTTGCCACAATAAGCAACACAACCCTTGCCCTGAATGACTCCCTGAGCAGAAGTCTATTTTGAGCATATTAGATAAGGACATGCTTTATAACTTTTCCCCTCACAGCAACAGCAGAAAATTGCAAGGCATTTTTATGTGATGTAAACAAACAGTAGTTTTAAAATTTATTACACATTTCTTCTATCATTATAGTAATATAATATATACTCAGTTGGGAAAAGTTGGGAAATGTAAATGTCAAAAAAAAAAAAAAAAGACCCAATTATTTTCTTATTTTGGTATAGTTTCTCCTCATCTTTTTGTGTAAAAATTTTTAAGCATATCAAATTTTATATAACATTTTATGCTGCTTCTTTTTACTTTCATCATATGAACTTCCTCATGTCATAATAAACTTTTTTGTATGTATCATTTCTAATGGCTGTAATATATTGCATTAAGCTAAAAAAAAACCCTAACAAATGTACTAAAATATTTACTTAAAATTATTCCCTATTTATGCTGTTACAACTAAAGCAACAAGAGCATTCTTATAAAATTTCTACTCATAATTGGATGATCACCTTCTAAAGAAATTGTAATGGTATAGTTTCCCTGAGAGCCTAAAAGGTGAGCATTTCTTCTTCTTCTTTTTCTCGGAGCATTTCATGTTATTATCACACTGACAGACATTAGCTTAGAAAATCAATGCTAATGAGATAGCAGAAAAGGAAAGCATTTTTACAGGAAAGATCTTTTAGTCTCTTAGGATGACTATTAAAGCATTTTTAATGGTTATTGTAACACTATTATTATTGAATCACTCTTCTGTACAGAAGAAAACATGCAGGCAGTCCTGGCATCATACATGGTTCTTATAAGCAAGCATTTCAGGTACCAGTCCTGCAGCAACACAGTTCAAATTTCAGTTACCACAGTATATTAACTTTGAGCAACTGCCTCGAGTACAAAGTTTGTTGCTACCTTCTCATCCAAAAATCACTATGTAAATAACAGGTGCATATCATGATCAGTGACCTATCATATCACTTTTTTTTTTCAAAATCTGACAATGATTGGTCACTGTCCATCTGTTCTTCAGTTTGGGCACAGACTGTCAACTGTGTAGTTGTGTTGCCTCTTCGTTCTCAGTGATAAATCCATGTGACAGTTTACAAGAGTGAGAACTGGTCAACAAAGATGAAAGTAAAACCAAAAAAAAAAAGGAAAAGTGATGATACCGGATGTGAATTCAAATGGCATATAAATGGAATCATAGAAGAAACTGCTGACTTTGGGAATACTGATATTGCTGCAGCTCAAGTGACTCTAAATACTCAGCCACAGGAACTTAGTGGAGGAGAACTAATTAACAACAAGAAGTTGGTTGGGATGAAAAGGATGAAGATGTCCCAGAGGAAGTGACACTGGCCAAGAAAACACTTCATCTTAAAGGAACTCTCACAGATATTTCACAACATTGAAAAACAAGAATAAAATGTTGGAAGGTGAATCAAACTTTGAAAAGAGTACAACAATTCACTGAGGCATAAAAAAAGACACTTGCTCCTCTATATCCTAAGTTAAACAGCCAGAAGGCAAAGTACTCCTGATAGGATTTTTACAAAGAAACAGTTATTTTTCCCATTGATTATTAAAATCACTTTACATGGTTTGACCTCACATGGGATTTCTAAGGCTGTATCTCTATGGAAGTAGATTGCCCAATCTTCCTTCTGAGGAGTGGTTGGTGAGTTTGAACCACCAGATTTATGGTTAGCAGTCAAATGCCTTAGGCACTATTCCACGAGAGCTCCTGTTATATTACTATGGTGCAAAGTGAGGACACTGACCATGATGGAATCTGTGAGCCCTCTCCAAAGTTTACCCAACTTCCCTAACTTGTCTGTCTACAACTAATGAGTAGTTTTAATGGCTTAGACAAACTATTTTAGATAAACAGGACAAAGATAGAGAAATGGGCCCCTTCTCTGAACTCAACTCAGTTCTGTGGGTTTTTCACCTTGGCAGTTGATTCTTTGGTTTCAACCAGGTGAAGAAAAGTCAGTCTTTCTGTTTCTTCCCACATTAAACAGATACAAATAAAATGCCTTTTACATCCAATTTAAAACAAAGACAGAATAGTTAAGGCATGTAGGCAGTTATAGGTCAGCTCAATATTAAGACAAAAGTACACTGAACATCTGCTTAAGGTTGGATTACTGAAATGTAAAATTAGTGAAAAATAAGTAAAAAGAGATGAAAGGTCATATGAAACTCTTATCTAATTACATTTCAACTGAGAGTTAGAAAGGGGGCCCTAAAGATACTTCAAGACCCCTGGTGGTTCAGTGGTTAAGGCCTCAGCTGCTAACAGAAAGGTCAGAGGTATGAACCCACCAGTTGCTCTGCAGGAGAAAGTGTGGCAATCTGCTTCTGTAAAGATGTACAGCCTTGGAAACCCTATTTGGCAGTTCTGCTCTGTCCTATAGGGTCTCTATGAGTCAGAAACAGACTTGTCAACAGTGGGTTTGGTTTTTGGTTTTGTAAATATGCCTCTACCATGTTAAGGAGCCCTGGGGGTGCAGTGGTTAAGCTCTTGACTACTAATTGAAAAGGTGATGGTTTGAAGCCACCAGCTGCTCTTGGAGAGAAGGGTGTGGCAATTTGCTTCCATAAAGATTATAATTTGGAAACCCTACGGGGCAGTTCTAGTCTGTCCTATGGGGTCACTATGAATTGGAACCAACTCAACAGCAATGGGTATTTTAGAGTAATTATTTTTTAAATTACCTGGCTTGAATTTCCTGAGCATTTTTCACGAATATCACAATCATTTACTGCTTCTCGGCACACAGTCCCCATAGGCTGAAACTAAAATGAACAAAAATTAATGTGTAAAACTGTAAAAGGGGATTTAAAAAGAAAAAGAAAAAACACCTTTCATAGTTCCATCTAAAGAAGCAAAATGAAAATTGCTTGGCTAGGAGTATCTTAATCCATCTTAAGATGTCAGCCTGTGAAGAGCAAAGTTCTGAATGAAAATGCTATTTTAGTAGCTTTAAGGGACAGTTTCTTGTCTGAGAAAATTTACATATTCATCACACATAAACCTTACAATATCCTGTTAAAATAGGATAGTGCTTGCTGGCAGCTCCATCTGAGGAGTAAATTAGTCCAAGTTCTGGTAATTCTTCATTCCAAATAGCTCTTGGATTTACACTTTACTATTCAGTCTTACTGCTACCTTTACCGTATTACTCTTTCACCTTGTATCTGCCAAGATACTCAAAGCTACATTTGGGGGTAAAAAGTAAAAGTCAGATTTTCTGGCAAAGCTATCTCTTCCCATCTTCCCTTCTGCTTCAGTTTTACACAGATCTCAATTTTATTTTTTAAATTCTATTCTAATGTTTCAATTATTTGTGCCAATATGGTTTGGGGTTTTTTTTTTTTTTTTGGTCTGTTTTCAAACACTTCAAATACTTTTTGTAAGTGTGGGAGTTGTACAAATTAATTTTTAACTTCATTGGATTTACAAATTGCAAGAATACTCATTATAACGAAAGAAAACAGAAATACATAATCTAAATTATCATCCTTCCCCTAACCACTTCAATCCCACTCCCCCTGGAAACTAATGCTAACATTTTGGGCTGGGTCTTTCTATACTTTTGTCTCTGCTCACACAAACATATACATTCTTTGCCCTCCCCTCCTACTGCCCATATGAACTTCATCTTCATCTTCTCTCCCTTGCTCACAAACCCTCCAGGCACTCGAGTCTCCTACAACACGCACAGGACACTGCCAACTCCAATCAGGATTTTAACAGATATGTTTGAGGGGATGTGAACAAAATTTGCTTATTCATTCATTCATCAACTATTTACTAGGCAAGATAATTTGATTTTATATGCTCTGATTCTGTTCCTTCTTGGGATTGAGGCAAGCTACAATTTTAGAACATCTAAAATAGTAGGAATATGAATAGTTAAGCCAGAGTTTATATGAGAGTACGAAGTTCCAGCACTGCCAGGAAATCTCTGAAAGAGTACATAGTGAGGAAGAAGTCCTCTAAGTGCATTGAATGAAATTCCTGTCTTATTGGAACTGTCATTCTAATGAGAAGAGAAAGATAAGAGACAAGTAAACAAGGAATATTTTAAGAAGAGGGTCTGCAAAATTATGGCTTTAGGGTCAAAACCGCTTGATCACTTTTTTTTTTTAATAAAGTCTTATTGGAGTACACCATGTTCTTTTGTTAATATACCTTCCACAGCTGCTTTCCTATCACAAAGGCAGCACTGAGTGACTGCAACAGAGACTTCTGGACCCACAATGCCTAAAATATTCACTATCTGGTCATTTACAGATAGTTTGCCAAATTCTGTTTTATAGATATATTATTATAAATATATGCAGAAAAAGGCAGATGAAGAAATACACAGGATTTTCCATCTCATTTTCCTATTTCCCCTCCCCCACTCACTATTCTGCCTCTGGCTCCCTTAAGAGCCCAGGGTAGGGGTGGGTGTAGGGTTGAGAGTAGAGAAAGTAGCAGAAAAGCCTGTACTTGATTGGTAGAGCTGTCACTTATTCTGTGTGTTAATTATGCTAGTATTATGTATTTTAATTTCATTATTTTGTATTTGTTCCTTGAAATAATTACTTTACAAGGAGCGTAATTCTATATACCAAAGAAAAAGAAAGCAGTGCTATGAAATGCTCTTTACAGATGGGAAGACTAAAAGATGTGGGGTTAAAATAAATGGTTCGGCATTCCTTGTTATGGCAGTTAGAGAAACTGACACAATTAACAGCTGAGGTAGCCAAAATCAAAGCACGTCTGATTCACATTTCCTTTACTCATCTTTTTTCAGAGATCTCTCTCAGAGATTTCTGCCAGTACCTTACTTAAGAAGTTGGCAGAAGACAACAGCATAGTGGATACAAAATAAATTGCAGCCAGCAGATCCGGGATGTAATTCCACATCTATTTCTCATAAGCTGTGAGCATGCAAAGGTGTTTACCTTCCTTGAGATTGGCTTGCTCAATTATAAATACTGGAACAATAATGATATCCCAAAAGTGTGGTTGTGAGCATGACCTAAGACAATGGTCTCAACTAGGGGTGATTTTGTGCCATACGGGGACATTTGGCAGTGTCTAGAAACATGTTTGGTTGTCATAACTGGGAAGAATGATAGTGGCATCTAGTGGACACAGGCCATGGATGCTACTAAACATCACACACCAAAACAAACTAAACTCACTGCCGTTGAGTTGGATCCGACTCACAGCGCCCCCTCCTTGGGTTTCCGAGGTGGTATCTCTACAAAAGTAGATTGCCCAGTCTTCCTTCTGAGGAGGGCTGGTGGGTTTGAACTGCTAGCCTTCTGGTTACAGTCAAATGCCTTAGGCACTACGCCACCAGAGAGATACATAGAATTGCAACAAAGAATTATCCAGCCCAAAATGTCAGTACTGCCAGGGTTGAGAAACCCTGATCAAATATGACACAAATTAAAAGTTCTTGGCACAATCCCTAGCACACAGAGGATGTTTAATATGATGGTTTCATTTTCTACCCTCCCTTAACTCATTGTTAGCCAACAGCAAATAATCACTAAGGAAGTGCTATGCATATTTATTCATTCATTTAACAAATATTTACTGAGAACTTGTACCAGTTACTTTGTAACCACCTAGCTCTGCCACTGTACAATATGCAGACTACAGGGAGAGGTAGATATTAAACCTCAGAAATAATGTCAAATAGTGTGAATACGGCCTGGGTAAGGAATAACCAAACAATAAGGGTTTAAAATGGCAATGAAGGGTCTCTAAATTCTATCAGAATAAGAATGGGATCTTTTATGCAATTTCACCCTGACAAATATCAAAAGACAATTTTCAAAAAAGATAAAAACATGATGCTCACACAGATATAAAACACAAATACTTATTAAATTTTTTAAAAAAGGAATGTCAGATATTGTGCCAGATTTTATATGAGAAGAGAAAAAAGGAATAAATTTCTTTAGGAAAGGTATGCCACAAATAACTATGCTAATGTAAAGGCTTAAATCTGTACTATTTGGAAATAGCTATGATGATGCTGTTGGGAGGATGAAAAGAGATAATGTGTGTAAAAATGCATTCTGAACTCTCATGTACAGTAATACATGTAAAGTAAGTATTCCTTTTGCTCCAACAAAAGCAAATGTGAGGGCTATGATAAACTGAGTAATGAGAAAAGAAGGCTCTATTAAATATACACTTGGCTTTTCAAAGAAAGGTAGACATCACACAAATATTAGCAACATCTGGTTTTGTTCAATGTGCACACTCCTCATGGAGGAATATGGAGGAGGCAAGCTCCAGGATTAACAAAGTTCAGGCCTGACTTTCTGACTTGTCTGGTGTAAGACCCTGGGTGAACTACAAGCCTACAAACCTCACTGTTCTCCTCTAACTACATGGGAATAATAATAGTAACTAGATCTCAGCAAGATTTTTGTGAGGAACACAAGTTGTAAGTCATGTAAGACACCTGGCACTTAGTCATTTAATTTGTGTTAGATACTATTGTTGATATTAGATTATATTACACAGTCTTCACAATTTAATCGAATATGCTCTTTTTGTTTGTTTGTTTTTTCTGTAACTGGTCATTAATCATCATTTATTTACCTTGCAGTTTTTACAACAAAGGCCATCACTGCACTGAGAGTCTTGAGTCAAGGTGCATTTCTTACAACATTCTGCTCCTTCAAGGCCACATTCCTAAGGAACATCAACATTTATAAAATATTAGAAAACAGTTATCATTTCCTAAAAGGACCAGGATAGCTAAAATAAATGTACTAACTCACAGTAATAAACTTTCTTTTGCAAATCCTGTAACATTTCTGGGCACAACAGTTCCTCTTTATACCTCAGTGTATAGACCTGGGGTGACCCTGAATTAACTAAAAAACATGATCAAAAGAACCAGAGACTTACTGTAGGAGTCCCACAGTCACACTCCTCTCCAGTTTCAATAAAGCCGTTGCCACACTCAGGAGGGTCGAGAAGCTGTGGGATGAAAACCAAAAAGGGAACTAAAATATAAAGAAATCAACATCAAAAACTATGTAAGAGACCACAGTGCCACACTTTCATATCTAGCATACTTGCTAGTCATTCCAAAATATATTTTTATTTTTCTTAACTAGGAAGGATGACTTTATAACAGGGGAACTTTAGAAGAGAAGTGTCTACTCCTGTTTCTCCTTCAGAGTTAACCACGTGTCCATCTGTAACATACATACTAGTCAGGATCTGGTAAATGCCACAAAATAAAAGACGATCTAGGAACTGACTAAAACCAATCCAGATTAACTCCTAAAATGTCATTTTGAACTGGAAGAAAGAGATGTGGAGAAAGAATGTCTGGATGCAAATCATGGTTCAATTACTTATCTTGGGCAAGCTACTTATCCTCTCAGATTCTTAGTGTTTAATATCTAAACAGGAGGATTATAATTAGCTGTCCATCTACATTACAGAATTGTTGTGAGATAAAGTTAAATCATTTGTGTAAAAGCTCTTTATTAACTGTTGCTCCTTGTGAAACAGAAAGTTAATTCAGAAACAATGGGGAAAGTATCGCAAAAAATAATAAATCCACTGATTTATTTAAAATAAAATACAGCTTCTCCTACTAACATAGCTTTGCAGAGAACAGCACTAACAATTTGTTCAAAGATTAAGACAATTTCTGGCCTATAGGAGAGTACACTTTGGGACAGTTGATCTTTATTTTTTTTAACCATCCATCAATTTTATTGTCTTTTAAGTATAATTCACCCTATGGTGATAGGTAAGATTTGTAAATAGTAAATGGTTGCTGTGTGCCAGATACATAATATTCATCTGGAAGTTAATCAAACTTTATGTATTATAGAATAGAAATGTACAAACACTCTCTTTCTTAATTAACAGATGGGCAGAACAAAACAAAATAAAGAAAACAACAAAAAGCTCACTTGATTTCAATACACTTTCCTATGAAAGAATCAACTCATCTTTCTACTTCCTTTTCACTTGAAAGTGATGATCATAATGAGATAGCTCTGAAAGCCAAACTGTAACTTGTCTATATGAAAATGTACTTATTCTCCTAGGCTGGTTCAGAATCTTCATTTATTTTATTTAAAAGAAAAAAAAATTGGTTTATAGTTAATGCAGCAGTGATTTCATCTAAATATCCCTTCTATTGGAAAAGAGTGATTACTTTTCAAGGTAATAGGATATGATTACTAAATTTCACTAGAGTGGACAGAGAACAAAGTCAGGTAAATGATTGCCAAGACAATGCCACATTACCACTGAGGTGCACAGAAGCACGTCCTAGTTTACATAATTAGTAAGAAAAAAACACTCTTCTTCACGTGCAAAGTGTTCAAAATGCAAGAGGAAGACTTGTCTTGTAATCAGTAACCACAGAATGCTTTGGAATTTGTAAAAGCCTATGACAAAGTCAGACAGAGCAGCAGGGATCTCAGATAAGGGGAGAGACACAGGACCCACCCTCAAGAGGCAGGAAGAAGAGTAAAGAGAAGTTGGGGGACCACAGACAGATGGCAGAGATCTCAGGTAAGGGGAGGGACACAGGCCCCACCTCCAAAGGCAGAAAGCAGAGAGGTTTCGAACAGCTAAGGGAAACACACTTGTCTGCCGGTTTGGCGTACTGTGGTGGCTTGTGCACTGCTGTGAGGCTTAAGGCTGTGCCACCGTGTTTCAAACACCAGCAGGGTTGCACATGGTGCACAGGTTTCAATGTAGCTCACAGATTGAGACAGATGAGGAAGAAGAGGCCATCCACTTCTCAAAGATTTAGCCAGGAAAAACCTTAGGAATAGAAGAGAACACTGTCTGATATGTTACTGCACAACTTTATGAATAGCCCAAAAACACTGTCCGATACAGTGCAGGAGGACGAGCCCTTAGGTCAGAAGGCTCTAAAACTACAACTGGAAAGAGCTGCATCATCTGAGTAGAACCAGCCTTACTGATATGGATAAAGTAAAGCTTTTGAGACCCCCATTTATTGATATGGCATGACTCAAAATGAGTAGAAACAGCTGCAAACATCCATTAATAATTGGAACATGGAATGTACGAAGCATGAATCTAGGAAAATTGGAAGTTGTCAAAAATGAAATGGAACGCACAAAGATTGATATTCTAGGCATTAGTGAGCTGAAATGGACTGGTTTGGGCCATTTTAAATCAGACAACCAAATGATCTACTAGGCCAGGAATGACAATTTGAAGAGGCATGTGTAGTGTTCACATCACAAAGGATGTTTCAAGATCTGTCCTGAACTACAATGCTGTCAGTGATAGAATAACATCCATACATCTTCAAGGAAGACCAGTTAATGACTATTATTCAAATTTATGCACCAACCACCAAAGCCAAAGATGAGGAAACTGAAGATTTTTATCAACTTCTGCAGTCTAGAATTGACCGAAAGTGCAATCAAGATGTCTTAATTATCACTGGTGACCGGAACGCAAAAGTTGGAAACAGAGAAGAATCACCAGTAGTTGGAAAATTTGGACTTGGTGACAGAAATAACACTGGAGATCAAATGATAGAATTTTGCAATACCAATGACTGATTCATTCCAAATACCTTTTTTCAACAACACAAAAGATGGCTATACACATGGACTTCACCAGGTGGAATACATAGGAATTAGATTGACTACAACTGTGGAAAGAGGCGATGGAAAAGCTCAATATCTTTAGCCCAAACAAGTCCAGGAGCTGACTGTGGAACAGACCATCAACTGCTCATTTGCAAGGTCAACTTGAAATTGAAGACAATTAAAACAAGTCCACGAGAGCCAAAATATGACCTTGAATATATCCCTCCTGAATTTAGAGACCATTTAAAGAATTGATTTCATGCATTGAACACCAATGACTAAAAATCAGAAGAAATGTGGGAAGATGTCAAGAACATTATCCATGAAGAAAGCAAGAGGTCATTAAAAAGATGAGAAAAGAAGAAAAGACCAAAATGGATGTCAGAAGAGAATTTGAAACTTGCTCTTGAGTGGAGAGTAGCAAAAGCAAATGAAAGAAATGACAAGATAAAAAAGCTGAACAGAAGATTTCAAAGAGCAGGTTGAGAAGACAAAGACAATTACTATAATGAAATGTGCAAAGACCTGGAGTTAGAAAACCAAAAGGGAAGAACACACCCAGCATTTCTCCAGCTGAAAGAGCTGAGAAAAAAATTAAGCCTTGAGTTGCAATATTGAAAGATTCTATGGGCAAAAGATTGAATGATGCAGGGAACATCAAAAGAAGATGGAAGGAATACATAGAATCACTGTACCAAAAAGAACTGGTCAATGTTCATCCATTTCAGGAGGTGGCATATGATCAAGAACCAATGGTACTGAAGGAAGTCGAAGCTGCACTGAAGGAACTGGTGAAGAACAAGGCTCCTGGAATTGATGGAATACTCATTGAGATGTTTCAACAAATGCCCCACTGGGGTCACTCACTCGGATATGCCAAGAGATCTGGAAGACACCTGGCCAACTGACTGGAAGAGATCCATATTTGTACCCATTCCAAAGAAAGGTGATCCCAGAGAATGTGGAAATTTTCAAATAATGTCATTAATATTGCACGCAAGTAAGATCTTAATGAAGATAATTCAAAAACAGTTGCAGCAGTATATTGACAAGAGAACTTCCAGAGGTGCAAGCTGGATTCAGACGAGGACATGGAATTAGGGATACTACTGCTGATTTTGGGAGCTCTGGTAGCATAGTGGCTAAGACACTTGCCTGCTAACCATACGGCTGGCGGTTCAAACTCACCAGCCACTCCTCGGAAGGAAGGTTGGGCAATCCTACTTCC